GATAAAAATCTTTTAAGGAAAAAAAAAAGTCTTAAGGCGGGATTTAAATAAACCGAGGGACTCAGCAGATCTAATATCAGACGGAGAGAGAATTCCACAGCTTGGGGGCCACACGGGAAAAGGCCCCCTGGGGTCACCGATTGGATGATGCTGCCACCGCCCCCCTCTCGCGTGCGGCTTCTCTCCGGCTACTCCAGCATTCCTCTGACATCTAGAAAAACCGCTCATGAATTGGCCGATATGATCCGAGTATGTGGAGGACCACAAAGCATGAGCAGTTGTTGGTGTCGGCTCACAGCGTGGCTGCCCCTCTGTGGTTCCTCGCACCTCCTGAGTCGTACGCTCTCTCTCTCTCTCTCTCCTGAGTGCAAGCGAATATTGGCGCATTACAAAATCAAAATTGTGAAATTAGTATTACGACGGTGAATATTTTCGTAAGAAATTATGGTTAAATTTCGATTTAAAGCTTTCGTGACTGCAGGGATTCATCTTCTTGGTGATTTCGGTAAAGTCACGTAAAAGGGAAGTAATAAAATAATAAAAATAAAACATAATAAAATAATTCTCACGACGTTTTGGCCACAACGCAAGCAGCCGTCTTCAGGTGGAGAACAGGTCTGTCACGTAGACAGAGTCTGAATGATTATTATGTTTTATTTTTATTATTTTATTACTTCCCTTCTACGTGACTTTACCGAAAGAACCAAGAAGATAAATTATGGTTAATTCTATTCTATTATATAACGGCCTTTTGCGAATCCACATCTGGGAAAAGCCCTCCCTCCCTCCTGTGTTGATTGTGGGGTTTGTTTGAACGTACTTCACCAAAGTGGTTGACGTGCGTTGGTGACGTGGGTTGGTGGCGGAGGATCTGGTTCAGATATTACTCATCACTGACGTAAATAATAATGATAACCAAGCTTAGCATCAGGTTTCTGGGTTCAGGTCATAGGGTTCATCGCAAAGTGCGCTTACCCCTACATCACCGCTCCCCAGGCAAAGAGGATTATTGTAATAAAAACAGTGATGATACCGAGACGGGGGTGAGAAGTGTTCGTGCCGACACTCGTTTTCTTGTGACTACAAGCAAGAAAGCAAGGCAGCGTAATAAAAAATCCCTCCTGGAAAAGTCTAGATTCTTGTTCACAAGTTGTTTATGTGGCTTTAAAACGTTTTTACTGCAGTGTGCAGGAAGAACTAAACACTGTTAGGAATGGATTCGACGACATGCAGGTGCATTGTATTTTAAAACCTCACACAGATACTATACATCAGCGAATAATAACAGCAACACTTTCCATGTAGAAATTCCAAATTAGAGTTGATTGGGGATTTACACACATATATCTCACGAATACTGCTATTGCTCTTTCAAACTAGCAAAGCTGAGCTTATAATTACACGGAATTGCAATGTGTGAGCGACGATCGAGAAGACGTGTTGCGGAGGAAAAAAGATTACAGATTAAAAAGAAATCTTCTGAAACCGTCGTTCCTGCAAGGTCACAACAATGGTACTCCAACACGACAATCAATAACGTAATGCCTGAAAGAGGAATCTCTCTACACGGTCCATCTCTGATTCTAGACCATGGGTAATCCTGTAAGTCAGTGCAATGGACAACATTAAATATGCCTTTTGAAAGGAAATCGTTAGAATTTTAACAAACAATAAAAGAGGACTGACTATGGCACTTACAAAAATGAGGCAATCTAAATGTATTGTTTTTTTTTCTCGTAAACATTTTACACATTTAACTACTGCATTACGGATTCATCACGGTGTTTTTTTTCCTTCGTCAAATGTGAAAATTATATAAACGGTAATGAAATAATAAAACATAAATCAGATGCATAATAATTCGAATTTAATTGAAACATCTAAAATTACTACTGCACGTCTCTAAAAATCTGTATCTCACTATGCTAAGTATGATAATTAATGATGCGGGTGCTAATGTAAAGACAAACAATTATTTTGAGAGGCAGTGCCATAGATTTTTTTCATTAAAATACAGACGGCACAATTCACAAGCATTAGACAGCATGATCACACACATAGCGGCGGGCACCTGCATACTTCATACTTTTGTTAAGTGACAGGGACGAGTACGATGCAATGTCCATTTGAAATTGGCGTCTGTCAGCCACCGCCTGTCAAATCTTTTGTTATGTAGACACACACACAAACTGCTGGTCAGGCACCTTAACAAATGAACATTGACCCAGGTGCAGATTAAAGTAATCTTTTTTTCCCTCGCCCTGTACAGCTGAATTTACTGCACTGTTCGAAACGGAGTGAATTGGCGGAGCGCATGACTGGAACGCCACCTGGCCTCGTATCTGTGACTAAAGCTCTCGATTGCACTAGATTAAGACCAAGCGCTGCTGAAAACTAACGCTAACCCACAGCTAATCTTCTTTTCAAAGGACGAATCCTTTGACTTTGCCTACCATGGCGGCGGGGGGAGGGGGGGGGGGCATGTGGCAGGGAGCCATTTTGCAGCATCTGTTGCTTTAGGACCGTGGGAAGAGTTTTAACTTTCCAATATTCAGCTTTCTCAACTCAATCTAATCTCAAACATGCCTCGTAGTGGTCTGTCTCATCCCATATATGAGAACCCACAGACAAAATTGACTAGTGCTGAATTGTTTTATCTCCTCGCAAAAGAAAAAAAAATATGCAATGTAAGCATTTTGCTCGAAAGACTGAACAATTCCGCACAAATGAAAAGAACACAATAAAGCTAATGGAGTGAAGCGACCCAGATGAAATATTTTACGTCATGTGCGATGAATGCGTAATGGTAATGCGTTCATCAGCAGCCAGGCTCTATCCGCTGCTGTGTCAAGGCCTTTTCAAGTCATCGGCATTCCCCAATGTCCCATGACACCTCTAATACATTTCGCTCACACGCATCAGCTTGTCCCATAATCCCTCCATCCTCTCGGTAGCCTTCCTCTTGGGTGCGATCTCTCCTTTGACTGCCATTCATTCACCAGCCTCGACCGTTGGCCTTCCCCCCATTCTAGCGATGTATCCCCGCACAGGCCTGCTTACTTTCTTAACAGCCAATATTATGTCTTTAAATTGTATTTGTTCCCTGATCCATCTGTTCCTCTTTTTTGTGTCAGTGTTATTTCAAGAATGTACCTGTCCACGTTTCTTTTGAGTACGTTTCATCTGTTGATCATTTTTGTCGGTTTAAAAAAAAATAGTGAACCCATGTCACAGCTGGTGAAAGGCACTGAAATAAAAACCTCCTTTTTGAGGCATGTTCGTATGTTAAGGCAAATTGGTACGTTGTATTGGCATGTTTCTTTTACAAAAGCACAGGAACCTGCTCTCACTTGCCTCATTAATTAATCATTTTGGTCCCATTCCCCCTGCAATAACTGTCCAAGGTATACATACTCTGATTTCTTTTCCAGGATTGCTCTTTGAATATCAATTTCAAGGACCTTATTAGAACACACTAAACTCAAAGCCACATTAAGGTTTGCACGACACAAGTCCATTTCTTGAGAAAGGCACGATTAGAAATAAAATACAAGACTGAGACAATACGAGGCTTGAAGACGGCAAAACAAAGAACCGGCAAAGCATGACGTATGCAGGCTTCTTTGTTTTTTAAATAATGCGATACAGATCGATATGACGCGTGAGAACCAGCGATGTGGCCATAGGGGAGAAGTTGCGATGATTGGAGCCGAGGGCACTTGGTGGTGTTTGCATGAGAATCAACCAGACAATCTCAATAACCTCAACCAATTCCCTTCAGCTAAAACGTCGCAGCACAGCAATAGGAGGTCCATCTTTTTGGCGAATACTATAGTGACAATATAGCCAGGAACTAGGGCACTTCATTATTTAAAAACAAAAATGGGAAATACACTTAAGAATTGTAAGTACGCAATTGAACCTTGGTGTAACACCCACAGACTGCCTCCCAGAGACAATATAAAATAACATCAGGTGTAGTCGGAGTGTGTGCCTACATCATCTGTATTGTATGTTCCATCGTCATAATCATCGCCGGTCATTATCAATCCGCTGCTGGACGAAAGCATTCCCAAGCCGTCGCCGTGTCTCATGTTTTTAACGCTTTAACAATCCGTCTAGCCCAGTGGTTCTTGACCTGGGGTGCACGCATCCCCTGGGGGTACTCGATACCCTTTTTGGGGGTGCGAGATGTGGCCAGAGTTTTTTTAGAAGGTAAATCATCGAAATACAAATTAAGCACGTAAGTACAACTCCTCTGTTTCATCAAACCTACGTGTTTATTAACATTATACATTTTAACCATTGAGAATCAAAGGGGTGCAAGGCTGCAGTAAAGGTTAATAACCACTGGTCTAGTGCCTGCGCGGCAGCGGATTTCATTGCTCTATCTCTGCAGCGGACACGCCCCCCCCTCGTTTGGTTTGCCATTTGCATCGTTACCCTCTGCCACCGGCGGCCATCTTGTCTTACAGTGACAAGGGCTCCTGCCCATCAATGCAAAATCCTTTGCTTACACTGAACTCTTGCTAGTCCGGCAAGGATGTAAAATAGTGTAACGCGGTCACTACGCCCTCGCCTACCCCAAACCTTCATCGGGGGTCTAATAAATGCATAAAATGTGAATTGAACTAACCAAGAGTGACACCAATGTAGAACTTCATTCGCGCCGTATGTAGCCAACTGCGCTAATCAGAGATGCTGGGGAAGGACAACAAACTAAAGACAAAAAGCAGTTCGATTTTTTAAAATCTAGATTTAAAAGTGCATAGCTTCAGTGGCTTCCTAACGTCGGAAGAGCGTTCCAGATGGTCGCAAAAGCGCAACTGAAAGCGCACGATGCAGTGACCTTCTTTTTTTCGATGGCTAGCCAAAAGACGTTGCTGCGAGGATGACCGGAGTTCGCGTGATGGTTTCGTGGTTCATTTGTGGCAAGCACTTTGTATGCAATGAGTGCTGTAAAAATGTTTACGCTCAGTGGCACCGTCTCTGCTTTTTACCTGTGCTGTGGTGTAAAGCAGTCCGGTCTCCTCATGCGTGATGAGGGCGGCATTTCCGGGAATGTCTCTTGCGATGACCGGCAGGCCTAGCTGCATAGCCTGTGCGCAAGTGTGCAAACGTGTGGAGATGAGAACGTCGTAAAGTTTACAATGCATGAGATCACATTCATGTTCCTATCACCATACACAAATACCGCTCAAAGTAAAAATGTTGACATTAAAATATAAACGTGTATTTTATGATGAATTCTACATTTTCCATTTTCGAAGTCGAGTTGAACGTGTGTGGCTTTTGTGTATGCATGCACGGACTTCATAGGGACACATTCTCCTATCTGTACTCACATTAAGTATCACTCCTATCATGCACAGATTCCAATGCGTGTTGTTTTCATCACGCAAATTAGATATAATGCAATTGAGTGAACATAACTACATTGCGCGAGTAGGAATGAGCGGTTGCAACGGCTGCCTCGGCGTAGCATCACACACAGCGGGATGCTGCTGGATGCTTCTGGATGCTACCCATGTGCCTCAATCTTTGTTCAGCCTGCAGACGCATCTCACGTCTTATTGTGGACTGTGCTTTGCCCTATATTATTTATTATAACGCGATTTTTCCATAACGCGGTGTTCTTCAGGAATGCAACTACCGAGTTATAGGAGAACAGACTATCTACAATTTTTTCAAGGATTGAAGCAATGGCGTGGCAAATTGATCCTTTTATCCGCATTTAACTGTGGATAAGAGGTGCACCTAGGGGTGAGAGTCACGGACGTTGATTATTTATACTATGCACAATTTTTTCACGGATGAGAGGAGTCGTTTGGCAAATTCATCCTTTTAATCTGCGTATTCCGTGACGGGAAATGGTCACTGGAGGTGCACGTATTTGCAGATACCCAGAAAGCTAGGGCAAATTCACTCTATTATCCACATTTATCTGCGCATGAACACATAGTTAATGGAAGTTACTTGCGTGGATAAACGTGCATATTACAGAATCCAGCCATAACACTGTCTCACATCAACGGCAGATAAGAGTTTCATTGCATGTCAGAATATTGTTGAGCCGTTATTTCAGAAATAAAAACATGAATCGTCACGACGGAGGTTTTTTTAAAATCCATAAAACCATCAGTGCCTTAAATTGCATTTATAATAATAATAAAAATAAAAATCCCGCTAGACATTATCATAATATGGCACAGCTCTCCCATACAATTATATTTTACATAATAGTCTCAGGCTTGACCCTGTGATTGAGAGCAACGCTTTTTCAACATTACCCAGTCTATGCCCTATCTCTGCTTGTATATAATGTTGGATCGGATAGAGCTGGGTCACTTGTTTCAGATGATCCGGAATGCGGTTTCCTGGGGCTAATCCCCATGGCGTGAGCCCCCAGGAAACAATTCAGCAAAAGCCCAGAGGCTGAAGCCAAAAAATTCCACAGGGGTACTGATGGCATGACTCGTCGGCTCGCGGAGGCTGGGTGGCTTTCAATGAAATATAACCCTCGGTTTTTGGCACAGGAGGATATAAAAAACGAGAGAACTGCTGAGAGGCGAGGAAATGCCCCAAATTAACTTACAGAGAAAACTAGACGGTGATTGTTCTGACACCTGTACATTTCAATGCAATGCAATCGTGTTTGTATACGCAACAGCTATCGTTAGGTGGACAAATTCAAATTTTGGAAAATAAAAAACAAAATCAGCAGCTATCAATGCGTTTTATTTTTTTGGAGGGGGGGGGAGGAGAAAGATGAATTTTGAGTAATTTCAAATCAGTAGGTTGTTGTGAAAATTTGGAACCCTGGTGTTGTCTGCAAATGCAAGATATATTTCAATGTTGGTGTAAATAATGCAATACAAATATAGTGGGACAGCACAATAAACCATAAAAACACACAAACACTGAAGATTTAAGGTTGCTGCAAATTTTTTTGTCTCTGCACCAGTCAACAAAAATTGTATATTCATTGAAAGCACTGGGAATCACTTTTTCCCCTTCAAATAATGCTACTTTATATATTGTGTAAGATAAACAAACACAACATTTTTGCATGATTTTCTATATGTAGAAAAATAGTGCCAAAGTATATATATATTTTTTATCAAAAAGAAAAGGGGAAATATTGTACCATAAATAACTGAATTGCTTTCAGTTTACTGTTCTGTATAATGTACATGGACAACACAATGTGATCTTAATTTAGAGAGCATCTAAAATGCAACGTCTCAAGATACTGTACAGGATAAGGATACGCGGGCTGTGGAACAAGGTGAATGAAAATATAGATCAGGGGGATGTGTGACAAAGATGAAGAGAGGGCTACAGTGCTGTAAGAACGCAATTGGGTGGCAATCAATCATACGCGAAGGAGAAAATATAAGTCCTGAGTTTGGCCTTAAACAGTGGAAGTGTCGAGAGTGAAAAATACATAAACGGGTTTCAGAAATCTGGGAGGAAAAACGGCAACTTTCCACGGAGCGAAGGTTAATTGCTAGTGTCAACAAGAGGCCTTAGTTACTGGAAGGGACGGCAGCGGGAGGAGAGTAAGGAGACACGGGAGGAGAGAGGTGGGCAGGAGCTCGACCACGTGGGATTTTAAACACCGAGGATGATCCTCCGAATGGCTATTGTAGTGAACTGGAGGGATCTCATATAGTCTCGCAGCCGCGCTCTGGATCATCTAAGGTGGGATTTGGGAACTCATCGATGAGAGGGAGAGTTACAAGAGTTAAAGGTGATATGCAACAGAGGCATGGATAGGAGTATCAGCAGCAGATGAAGTCTGGAAGTGTTAGGTGTAGGAGATATCGCAGAGATGTGTAGAAGAGGGCCCAGAAATGGAGAAACTTAACAAAAATCGATGCCTTACTTAACAAAGTGGATTATTACAGAGAATACGTTTTTTTCTCCATTGGAGTGGAAATTCAGTTGATGGAGCAGTCAAAGGAACTGCAGTCAAAAACAAAATCAAGATGGGCACATGGCCTGAACAGTAAATCGGGGTCAGGGGAAATGGTAGGGTATGTGCAGTTTGGTGTCATGTACATAAGAGTGGTAGAGGCAACTTCAAATTTGTATAAAAACACTATGTAACACAATTTTTGTTCCTGGGTAGTGTTATTTCGTAATTGCTTATGCCTAAAACGAATAGAAAATGGCTATTATTTCCCACAAACTTTGCTTTTGTGACCAGTACAGTGATATTTTGAAATGTACCTAATTTCAATGACAAAATGGGCGAATGTGTGTCTTTTCGTTCACATAAAGTCAGAAAAAAACAACATATGAATCAAAATTAACATGTATTTATACTAAAGCAATACAACAATTACTACAAAAGATTTAGGGGTATTTTTTCGAGATTTACGATGATACTGTAACACTTTCATGAATCAGCCCCCAAATGTAGTCTCCCATCATGTTCTCGTTATACTGTCCCTGGGTAGTGGCGTTCAAAGTCTAGTATATCCTGGTGGAAGCGCTCACCTTGCTCCTCCGAGTACGCTCCCATGTTCTCCTTGAATTTATCAAGATGAGCATCAAAGATATTGGCTTTGAGGGACATCCTACAGCCCATTGTGCCGTAGTTCTTCACCAGAGTCTCAATCAGTTCCACACAGTTTTCGACCTTGTGATTGCCCAGGAAGCCACGAACCACTGCGACAAAGCTGTTCCAAGCCACTTTCTCCTTACTAGTGAGCTTCTTGGGGAATTCATTGCACTCCAGGATCTTCTTTATCTGTGGTCCGATGAAGACTGGCTTTGACCTTTGCCTCAGACAGCTTAGGGAAGAAGTCTTAAAGGTACTTGAAGGCTGCCAACTCCTTATCTACAGCTCTGACAAATTGTTTCATAAGGCCCAATTTGATGTGCAGTGGTGGCATCAGCACCTTCCGGGGGTCCACCAGTGGCTCCCACTTGACGTTGTTCCTCCCCACAGAGAACTCGGTCTGCTGTGAACAGTCTCGTCTGTGGTAGTGCGCCTTGGTGTCTAAATCTTTTGTATTAATTTTTTATTACTTTGGTATAAATACATGCTAATTGTGATTAATGTTTTTTTCCCCGACTTTATGTGAACGAAAAGACACAAATTGACCCGTTTTCTCATTGAAAATAGGTAAATGTAAAAATATCACTGTCCTGGTCACAAAAGCAAAGTTTGCGGTGACTAATAGCCATTTTCTGTACTTTTGAGGCATAAGCAATTAGGAAATAACACTTACTACCCAGGAACAATTTTGTTTTTGTTACACAGTGTCTTTATGTCATAATAATGCCATGATAGTGTCATTTCCAAGGCTAATAATGTGCATTTATAGGGCACTTAAATGTCCGAGAAATTAAAAGCAGTTTACATCATGTCATCGCTTTCGCAATTAAGTAAATTGCGAGTATTTTTTTCTCGTCCAAATTTGGACCATGACGCTGGCACGCACGTGGCTTACTCTTGTTCGAGGTAACGTCACGGGATCCTGAACGTTCACTGTGAAGCAGGGGACGCGCATCGTGAATACACCGGCAGAGTATTAACCAGGGCGGCAGCTTGCCATCGAACCGCGAACCTCCGTCTCGAGCGGCGAGCCGCCGCGGTTACCGCTCAGCAACGTTTCCTCCTCGATCCGGGATAGCCTCACCGATAATAAAGAATCTCTCTCGGAAGGGTTCCTGCCCCTTTGCACGGTTCTCAGTGAGTGTTCTGTGGGTGAGAGGATACCGGAGTGGCTCGAGGGTAGATAAAACTCTACCCTAGGCATGGACGGCTTCACGAACAAATTTGTCCCCCTGCTATCTGCAGAACCATCTCCACAGCTCAGCGGGTTTGAGAGTCTCACAAATCGGCGTGCTCTACCACCGTCGCCTCCGAAGCGACAGATTACGAGAAGATTACGAGCGAGTGCCACCGTGCCCGGCTGTGATGTTTGCCAAGTGTAAGGAGATGGACGGAGTAAGGGGTTCTTCCGTACGCACCCTTAAAGGGCGAAAGCCACAAGGTAGCGGCGTCAGAAAAGAGGATAATCTCTGAATGGAGTCATAGGAGGGGCGTGCGATGACAGGTAAGGATGGAAGGAGGAGAGGAGTGTGCCAGATATATACACGAACACAAGCATGCAAGCGTTCAAGGAGGGACGGTGTTATCGATGGCGTCAAAAGCAGGCGAGAGATCAATAAAAACAAGGATGGAGAGAGTGTCACGATCAGAAGAAGTAGGTCATTAACTGCACATAAGACAGCAGAGCATCCCTGGAGTGGCCTTTGGTGAGATCTACGGATGGAATGGGTCAAGAAAAAAAAACCCCGAGGAAACCTAAAGGGTCTTGTAACAAAGTCACATTCATTAGGAGAATATTTGTTTTGTTAATTTTTTCAGGGAGGGGAAAAAAATAAAATACGCCGCCCCGTATGGGTTGGTCGAGTGAGTTGGTGCTGTGACGGTGAAATGGGGGAAGCGTCGCAATAACAGCATGGCGCGCGAACATTAAACATTAATTACGTGAAACATTAAACACGTTTAGAGCTTGCTTGTGAACGATGAAAAGGGGGGGGGGGGGGGGGGGGCGTGCTTCCATGAGATGTGGCTTAGCCGCACGAGAACCGACGGGATGAGCCGCTCGCCTCCAGAATGGCTCCCGACATGCCCTCGCTGAGGGAGCTGTTGACGAGGCAGAAGGAGTCGCTCATGGCGGCGTGCAGCTGGCTCTGGGGCAACTCCGGCAGGAGCCACGCGCCGCGCGCCCTGCGGAACCAACACCCGCGCTCATTTAAGAGAACACGGTTTTCGCAACACCCTTTTTATTTTGATTTTAAGCTTTCGTGACTGCAGGGATTCGTATTCTTGGTTCTTTTGGTAAAATCACGTAGAAGGGAAACAATAAAATAATAAAAATATTAAATAAAAAATTTTATTTTAAAAAATATAAAAAATAAAATGTTATTGTTTTATATTTTTTTTATTATATTGTTTCCCTTCTATGTGACTTTACCGAAAAAACCAAGAATATGAACCCTTTTTATTATTTTTCATTTTACACGCTTTTTATTAACTCACTCTGTCTTTTGTTGTATCCTCAAATCTTGTAACAAAATTTTTACCCACTTCCCAATGTCGTATCGACTGCAAACTTGGTATATTTATGTCATAATGATGACAATACCATATTCTATCATAAAAAATAAAAAAAACATATTTAAAAAGATTATTTTTTATATGTTATGTTTCGGCTTGGGTCTAATTGTCCACGGTAAACTGACGTTGGCTGTAATTGGCCACGGCCCCTGACGTTATGGCAAGCTTTGGGGCCACCTCCTGGAGTCGTGGAGTTCTGCCATTACTCGTACGGCACATTTCATTAAAGCGTGTTTAAAAAAAAAGTTTATTTTTAATTACTTATTATTTCCAGTTGACGTTGCAAGCGCTTAATGAGTTTGCTCGCTCTGAACCGTCATGCCTGTGCATTGGCGGGGAGCGGCAGTGCAGAGGTTGGCGCACTGCGCCACGAAACCAGTGACCCTGGGGGGTTCGGTTCACGCTCGCGGTCAACACCGGTGACCATAATTATCTGAACCGGTCCTAGGCCTTCCCTAGGTTCCACTCGTCCTCAAACGAGAACCTGGTGCGGCGTGTAAAATCATCGCCACTGGGGAGACAAAGGCGGTCGGGCATGGTGCTGGCCACCCACCCCCTCGTGTATAATCCCATAATAAGTGCTCGCTATAACAGCATTTGCCCCAATAGTCTGTTAAGGTTATACGGGGGGGGTCTTTGTCTTTGTATGGATGTTGAACTTCTTTAGCACTGTAGGTAGCCAGCTGTCTGAATTGGAGGTGCGGGGGAAGGACACCAAATTAAACACAAAAAGCAGTTCTAAAGAAATGATTTTTCAATCTATAAGCAAGGGGGGGGGGGGGGGGGACATGTTACAAAAGGAAAGGTGTGCTCAAGCATTTCGTCTTCCCCCTCACCATGTAACGTAGGATCAAATAACACGCGGAAAAAAACTCAAAGCATTCGTCAATAACGCAGGGGCTAAAGAGGAAATGTATTTATTTTAGCACAGCGGCAGGAGAACTGCTGCTCTGAAGAATCCGTTTAATATGTCCTTCATAGCTCATCTATATCCTGTAATAGTTAATCTATTGCATATTTCTACGTAGTAACGTATCTTACTTTTATGGCGGTGTTGTTGAATAACGTGTTCGGTTTCTGTTAAGTGCGCATTATGCACAACTGCCGATGCAGTATCGCACGTAACGTGCTAATTTGCCAAAACATCACCTGGTATATAATTCCTCCTATTGAAGGCAGTGTTACTGATGAAAGTGGTGAGCTTTTTGTTACTTATGCACCCCTGCCAATACAAAATCACATTTTGTTTAGGAGATGTAAAGATGTGTTGCCGAATATCCATTGTCTACCGTATGTCAACATCGCCAATGGATATATTTTCAATATATATATAAAAAAGTGTTATATCCAGTAATAACATTGAAAAAGTAATACGCTGTCTGTATGCTAACCCTGAAAGCTTCCATGTCACGACCAAAAAGGATTGTTCGTACACAATATACACACGCTTGCAGTGTGCGTGTGCAAGTAAACACGATATAAGCTACTTTAAGATGTAAGCTACTCCTCGCAGGAGAGAGTGAAAAGCCCATCAAGATTTTGTCCCGGTAAGATTTTCATAAGGATTTCTTGACAAAAATCCAGGGCCTGCGGTATTGAAGTCCCCCCCCCTCCACCCCCCCCTTGTTATTGATTCAACAATTCATCTGATTCAACAAATCAATTTAGCTATGTAGCCACTAAAGTAGCAAGATGAACACTACTATAAAACAAAGACAAAGACCCCTATCCCGCCCACCTCCATAGCCACACAGACTAATGAGGCAAGTGCTGTTCGCAAGCACCTGTGAAGGCCGGCACTGCAACACGAGGAGCTTTGTGCCTTTTCAGCACCATGACCTGGTGACCTAAACGTCCTCGTTCATGGCCAAGTCGATCTAGTTTTGGAGCAGAAACCCGTTCGGCTATCGTTCGCTCGCCACTGACGTTACAACCGTTGCCGGGGAATGGAAAATAATGTTGTGTTGTTAATATTCTATGGTTCTTTCGGTAAAGTCACGTAGATATAACAATTAAATTATATAAATAAAGTGAATACATTTTATTATAATTTTATTGTTATTTTTTCTATCTACGTGACTTTACCGAAAGAACCAGAGAATATGAATTCCTGCAGTCACGAAAGATTAAAGTCAAAATTTAAGGTTGTGTTGTGTTTGCGAATGGCGTTTGTCCCCAACAGTCTGTTAAGGCTCTGTATGTCTATGTGCATATTCACGTACGTTATGTTGGGGAACGGTAATGTCGCGGGTTGGTCAGCGCCATGCGCTGTGCACCCGGCAACCTGATTCCAATTGCTGCTCTTGGCCAACAACACTCATGAATATCTGAACCTGTTCTGGGCCTCCCCTAGATGTACATTAGTCATTAATGAGCACGTGCTGCGGTATGTGAACATTGAACATCAGTACTTGGGAGGCAAAGGTGGCTGGCGCGGTCCAGGCCACCACCACCACCACCCTATCATGTGCAGTGCAGGCCTTCATAGGCGATCTTTACCTTTGTTATATGTACAAATTGTACGTGTAAACACAATCATCTCCGGAATGACAAAAGGTTTCATAAATACATTAGCAAAAAAATGCAGGTGATGAGAATAGGGAATTATTTCTGCGCTTTGCTCAGCGCGCAAAAGTTATGCTTCCTGTGGTCATTAATTAGTATTCCTTCAGTGCCATCAGCTGAGTTGTGGCTGTGTGTTTGCATTTAATTATTGAGCAGCAAATGCTGCTACACTCGCATCATGGAGAAGCGGTTGCTGTGGTTATTAGGTATGATGCATCCATTACTTTTATCGGTATATCAGTGTGACGCAAATGGTGAACACGATTATAATAATTTTGCACGCGCCGTTTTAAATTCGCTTTCTAAAAATGTTCAAAATGAGCACTTGCAATGCTGATTAAATGGGTATTGGGAAGTCGCTTTGAACAGATCTCGTGTCATTTTACGTCGCGATTTATGACCCACAATATGCAAAGCTATTACGCACAATGTTCTTGCTGGGTAATCCGCACGCTATAATTCAGGCGGCAAAATTGTACATGGCTTGAAACTTCCAGCATGTTGTACTGTATTGTAGTAGTCTAGCAGTGGCGAAGTAGCCATAGTGCTCGGCTCACGAATGGGAAAGGTCGTTTGGGATCGACTCAGTCCTTCATCTCTTCCAGGGCCGACACAATGTGGGTATTAATTCTAGATTTGAAGCTTTCGTGACTGCAAGGATTCATAATCTTAGGGTTTTTTTTAGGTAAAGTCACGTAGGTAAAAAATTAAAATTAATAAAAGTAAAATAAAAACCACGACGTTTCGGAGGCAACACAAGCTTCCGTCTTCAGGTAAATTTGTTTTTACCTACGTGACTTTAACGAAAAAACCCCTAAAAATACAATGTGGGTATAGTCAACAGTGGCTGTCCCATATGAAGCATTGGTTCCACCAGAGAAACGTGGAATTTCCACAACTGGTTGAGAGCTTCAAACGGAAGACGACGAGCATTGTCCGATGCACCTTTGGGAATGGAACCACTGCGACAATTTTGTGAAGGTAAAAGCAAATGTCCAGCCCCTCCGATGATTTGCTCGTACCACTGCTGCTGGCAGAGGAGTCTCCACTAGAAGGAGCTGCAGAGAGAGAGAGAGGAAGAACCTCTCCAGGGTACTTTTGTACGAGTCTCCCACGCTGGCCGGGTTTCTCGGAAGAGATGTGAGAAGCCACACTTTACCTCGCCACGCACAAATTGCCGATCGGCGAACCGTGCTGTCACCTACGTACGCCTCTGGCTCAACATAGGTGGTGGTGGTGGGCGGTATTTAAGAAACTTGCCCGATGTTTCAACTGCCACGCTGGGAGATAGAGCTGGCGACATCTCTGGGCTTGCAAGTCCAGTGTTCTAACCGTTGCCACTGCGGCAGCAGCATCGCTGACTTTTTATCATGCGAAAGTCACAAGCACACATCTTTTGCAAAGTAACAAATATTAAATAGATAGAAACAATGCATTGAAAATGAATGCAAGACGAGATTGCTGTTGTGGTAGACGTACCGTGACAATTCAAACAATTTAGGTTCACAAATACGAGCTGCAGTTTGGGTTCCCAATCCAGAATATATTTCACTAGCGATTAAAATGTCACAATTTTCCAAAATGAACTTTATGGTGATAAAAAAAAAAATAATGCTCACATCTTGATCCTCTCTTTCACAGCTGCTGAGAGCACGGAGTCCATCTGTAAAAATGAGAAACAGTCGTGTGTGAACGTGTACGAGCGACACTTTTTAATTTGAACCTGGCTGCGCTGTGAGCGCACAACAACCCTCCACCCCCCCCCCCCCCGTTCTGCCATCAATGCCAAAGAAAACTAGAAAAGAACATATCACTCTAGTTGGATGTAAATCAAAGAGGCAATTCGTCTTATGAATATGTAATCTGATTTATACGAGGCAAAATATATTGCCATGAATAAATTAAAACCTGAAAATGGGCCACCTCCCTGCCTCTGGTTTGCTAATTTACCATCGATTTTCTTTTGTCATCACCTTACAGAAAATGCCAGTCCTGCTGCACTTGTTCATCTTACATAACGCCAGGTGCAATAATGACGTTCCATGCGTATAGTGGAACTTCTATTATATGTGAATGGCCAGGGTGGGACAATAGTGAATAAATGAAATCGTGGATAAGAGCGGTTTTCTTGTTATCTGTCAATATACTCAATCTTAAAATAAAATAAATCACGACGTTTCGGGCGCAACATCTGATGACGGGCGCTTGTGTTGCGCCCGAAACGTCGTGATTTATTTTATTTTTATACCTACGTGACTTTACCGAAAGAACCAAAGAGTATGGATTCCTGCAGTCACGAAAGCTTCAAATCAAGATTGATACTCAATCTTACATATGATTTTTGTGGATAACAAGATTAATTTAACACGTGACAATCCTTGAGAGCATTTGGCTGCTGTAAATATCCACGTGGTAAACAGCCACTCTGCTGAGCTCAAATTTGTGGCCATGTCAGCAATGAAAAAGAGCGATTTAGCTCAGTGGGCCTTATCTGTAAAATAAAATAGTTTACATTAGTTTTAATCCTCGTTGTCTTCGAGCATTGCTGAATGATCTTAATCATTATAATCCATCATCATCGTGACCTTCATCATCTATCATATTTGCGGAAAACCATCTTTGTCACTGCCTTTCTAATCATCGATTATATTCACCCATCATCGACTGCGTCATGAGCATCATCGACGTGTCTATTATCCGTGGAAAAAAGGTGGTAAACGCGCAGGCTTGTAATTTCTTTCTCACGCCACTGCTAGCAGAAGGACTTTGCACAGACTAGCCATGCTGATAATATTGGTTAGTGGAAAAATATTTTTTTTATTTTAAAATTAATATCAAGTCAAGAAAAATTCCACAAAACCTTTAACTTCAACCAATACGGCAGATTTTCACCATTTGGGTGTTAGAAATATGGTCTCTTATAATCTGCATTTTATTTGCGGACTGGCTAGTCACGTGCCACGCCTGCCCTGTAATCCGTGTTGTTTTCATGGATAAGTGGAACTGCGCAAGCTCCTTCCTCTCGTAACCCATGGCACCCCATGGCACACCGTGTCAGAAGAATAATTTTTTTCTGCAGGGCAATCAATCGTCAATCAACCTTTATTTTACGCGCCAATTTCGCCCTCAATAAAGGTGGGCATCGGTGCACATGACAGCAGAACGGGAACGGTACAGAGGGCCACAGAACAACAGGAAAGCTAAAAGGCACCTGTCAGGATCCCCGCGGCTAACACTGACTGAGCAAAGTAAATTGCAGTCGCGCGCAAAATAAAGTGCAACCGTGCGCAACGAATAGCACAAGAATGGTAAGTAGTGAATTAAAATAAATAATAAGTAAAGAAACATTGTATTAAAACATTTTTTATGGGAAGGCAAGTATGAAGCGATGTGCCTTGCACACACCACGGAATTGAGAGACACTCGGCGCATTTTAGATGTCCGGTAGCAGAGGATGTTGGAGTTTTTTGGGACTGAGCATGAGAAGGTACATCCCCCAACGTTGGGTGAAAGATCATGGCCTACAGCACTAACCTATAGTTCGTGGTCTATAGCACTTTCCTATAGTTAATGGTCTATAACACGAACCTCCGCGGGTCGCGGCAGATTACAGGGTCCATGATGCGGTTTCCCCCATATCAACGTGGATTTTTGGAGTTCTGCTGTACAGCGGCAGACCTTGAACTCTTCCTCATCGGCGAAAGTTGCAGACAATAGTGGCGATCTGCTGATGACGGGGAAGTATCGTGGATCGGCTAGACCATGCGGACATTAGGCCGCAGGAGATAGGAGTTTCACGACATTAAAGTAATTTTGTAGTACATTATACATCTTGGTTTCAGGTAAACGCTGCATGCAAACAAGTGTGTAACAAATGTGAAAATTCATGCACTTTAATCGTGTTTTATTTTAGATGCTGTGATTGAAAATGCAGCCTGCCAGTGTAGGTGCATTGCATTTCAATGCATAATATTGGTACATTGCCAAGAACACTGACAAACATGTGTCTTCTTTTTAAAAAAATATACCGATTTGTCGCAATGAGTGGTGGATAGACATTCTTATAGATCATTATGATTATCATGCCAGCACTAACCTCTGGACCAATGATGATTAGATGCACTCTGGAGTCTTCATTGTGCCACTCTAACACAAAAACATACCGTCAAGATGCAGCAATGTGACACTTTGCTGTGGCATTGTTGCAAAATGTTGGTCGCATAAATAGGTCAAAAACGAAATCGGCTCGGAAAATGTTACACAAACACGCTGATGGGGCGTTTGCGATTTTAAACGTGGGTGAGTTGCAAATGAAAAACACTTTTGTGTATCTTGAGACTGCAAACACTGTGATGGTATGAAATAAAACCTGCCTAAAAGTTGAAAAGCCACACGATTCTTGAAACAACTATTAAAGATAAACGGCACAGCCCTGCAATTACTGGTGCACAAAACTTGATGGCAACACAAAAAAAAAACCCACCTCGTTCTAAAGGCAGCTCTAGCAATGTTCTCTTTTGAGTATTTGGCCTATTTCTCCACGCAGGCCAGTCGTCTCGCAAGAGGCTGAAGTAACCTATACAGTTCCCCCACAACGCACACGCACGACCTGTCGGTCGAATAAAATGTTGAACCCATTCTATTCCGCTGGGTGGATAGAGGTGGCAGGGTGTGGGGATTTAGGAAACTTACTCCATCGTTTGAACTGCCACACTGGAAGATTGAAAGCAAGTCCAGTATGCTGCCCATTACACCACCATGGTAGCATCTCCCCCCCCCCCCCCCCCCCCCCCATCATACATTCAACTAATATTCAAAGAATCACCTCAACAACTATACATTGGTAAAGGTTTTTTTTTAAGTATCGAATTAACAACAGTAATTCAATTTAGCTTAATAATGATTGTAAATTAAACACTGACTACTGAAACACTTTCCAGTTGAACCGTATATCTAATCCACACCGTGCTATTATTGAAAATCTATACATTAGGAAGAAACCTTGTAATTTTACGATACATTTGGTCAGAATTGCCCCCAAAAGCAATTTGTCCTTTTTACAGACTTCAATCCCTCTCAGATTACGTCTTTAGCAGCAAGTAGGAGTGGAACATACTGATCTTGGCCTGCCCTGATTAATACTCAGTCTCTCTCAAGGCAGTTAAAGACAGGGCAACTCCAGAGCACTGCATCGATTAACATGCAGCCAAACCTCATGAAGCCAAATGGCTCAGAGGTCAGAGTGCTCAGCTGGTATCACTGAGATAATGGGTTCGAATCTGCGCAGCTCTCTGTGATTAAACTAAGTTCTTAAGTTTCGTGAGTCGATGTTTCAGACCGGTCACCCATGGCTGCACGTAAAAAAAAAAGATACATTTGGTATTGTATCTAATTTGACTAAATTCCACCTCTGAGACTTCCAAAAAATATTAAGTTGACTGTGATGCGATGGGCATTATGCTGCGGAAGGGCAAGTGGAAAATTCCTGCCCACTCATGTGGATAATAGCTCCCTTGAAGGGATCTCATGAGTAGTTCTGTCAAATATGCTTCTGTGGCCCATTATCTAACACAGGGTTGGCACTGCTCGGTGACCGTTCCGAATGGAACCTGTCTCATGGCGTGATGCTAATAGCAAAATGAGGATCAAATTGTAACCAATGTTAGGACTATCATCCAGACCAAAGTGAATACGACCACACTTTCTCTTAACAAAATTTATATCACTTCAAGCATCACAATTATAGGTCTGCAACATGAAGGGGTGTTTATCCTGAAGGAGGACTGCATGTTCTCGGTACGAAGGACAGGACAATACAATGAACGGAATGGCAGTATCGGATATTCATATTGCTTTTTTTAAATGCAGTTTCTCTCCGTCAGCATGTATTTGGCATGTGCTTGCTGCTATTCTGCAGTATTACATCCAACGTTCAAATGTATAACTACCCACGTGGGCAGCATTCCAGAGAATATATTTCAATATTGTATTCTAAAATATATATTTGGACTCAATGTCCTAATTCGTATGATGCGTCTTAATACGATGTTTGGAAGCATTCCAAGATACATATTTTTTGTCACGAGCAGCAATTTCTGAGCAAATATGAATGACAAAAATATATGCACACAAGAATAATTCTCCTTTAAAAGCAAAAAAAAATTTAAGTGGTCGTACGATTCAGGGGACAGACTGAGCTCACACCTTGAAATTCTTGGTTTGAATTTGGGCATTTCTGAATCAGAATCATAGACTCGAAGAATCTGATGAGCTATGAAGCTCTTTATCACAGATGCCCAGTAGAGGCTCCTCAAAAAGTTACATCAACAAAACATACAAGGATACTAGAGAAAGATAGAGAAAAGTCAAGTCAATCAAAAATAAATGAATATTGCTATAACATGGAAGTACAAATTTCACGACTCTATACATTTGCCAAGGTGAAATGTAAGCTTGGGAAAAGCAGAAACACAACAACAATAATGATAATTCAAGACCGCACCAAGACAGTTCCACGTTGCTCACGTTTCACTATATAATTTAATACCATGAGTAAGGTTCATAGTTTTAAATTGCAATTGCAAATGTGGCTGTATCTGTCATTAATCTTCTGTTTAAGGATATTTTTTAGGGAAAATTTACAAGGTCAAGTGAAGAAACGAGGTTGTTCCAAAACACTGGTGGTGCTGCAGCGGCAAAACTTTGTCTCCTATCGCCCGCGATGAAACTTGCTTCTCAATCGTAGCGAGCTGAAGAGCTCAGCATCGTCACCAACAAATGCACAATAAATCGTCACATTAAATACAAAGTATGACCTGTGTTTTGATTTAGTGTGCTGATCTTAAAGGTGCATTGAAAAATTATAATACTCCTATTGATGCTCCTGCTGTTGTGGAGTGGCTCATGCAGCCAGCTATGGCTGCAAGGTTTTGGTAGTACATGTTTATGCAATTTATTGTGAAAATTCCGTCACAGTTCCTATGATTGCTTTTTCATTGCTTTCATGGCTTTATTTTGGTGATTTCGAAAAGTGTATTGGTTTAGCCATGTTTGTTTGTTGTAGTACAGAGTTAGACTGATGGCCTTAATCTAAGTTGTCTTATGGTTGTTGTTGTTGTTGTTTGACTTGCATCCCACTGGGATTTTTGCACACAGAGTTGGTGTACGGTGTTTTTTTCTGCAATATTTTGCTGTCTTTTCTTGGATTTTATGTTTGCACTTAGTCACATATTCACTTTAAGATGTTTTTTGTTCATGTTTTTGTTTGTTGCGGTTGCACCCGATTCAAGAGCCGAATGGCTCACAGGGCTATACCTAATACATGTACTTGAACTTGAACCTTTGTTTCTGATGTTAATTTGGATTAATTCCACGGTCTGCGATTTAAAAACATTTTTTGCTTGATTGTCATGCGATGAACAACTCTTTCCCGGTCATGTACAGGCGTGAGACATGACCTTGGTGTGGTTAAATAGGTTTATCGAAGTTACTTCTGAAGTAGTTACATCATATCATCTTCTGGGGGCGATTCACTACTCGCTTGCGAGAGTCCCGAATGAGAATTTCTTCATCTCATTACGGGCCTCCAATTGCAAAAATGGAATGTAATTATGAAAAAAGCAACGGTAAAATAAAATAAAAAAATTACGTCAAATATCAATTATTATTGAAGCGGTTTCAAGGGATGCATAATGGAATGATGGAACAATCGCATTATTAAATTGTTTTAAAAGAGATTGGCAGTCCCGAGGACAATATATTTGGAAATATTTTCGTATAAATTCACTAAAAGGTTTTAATTTAATTACAACAGGATCGCTGACTGGGCATAACACTTCTTTGTCAAAGCCGCATTGGCTTATTCCCCAGGCGTGGAACAACTCGGACAAGAAGGAGACTATCTTAATTTTGGAGCTTTCGTGACTGCAGGAATTATTCTTTGGTTCTTTCGGTTAAGTCACGTCTAAAGATAAAATAATAAATGTGTGTCCTTGTGATGTCTGTCTGCTTGTATGTCTGTCTATAGTTTTCTAGTTAGATTTTTGTTGCTATTTCTTTTATGCCTGATGATGATTGCTTGTGTTGCAATCGAAACGTCGTAATATGCTTTTATTAAATTTATTATTTTATCTTTAGACGTGACTTAACCGAAAAAACCAAAGAAGAAAAAGGAGACTGTTTTGTGAACACTGGGAAATGCACATCATAAACAACAAATACACTCGCAGAAGTGTATAAGTGTACAAAAAAAAGTTCTATAAATGTGTGTGTGTGTGCTAGCTTTGTGTTTTGTCATTTATCAACAAGCGTCGATTAACTATTTATAGAGTTCATGCAAAGCTCTTGAAGAAAACCCATTGCGAACAAATACAGGGTAGAATTGTGGAACTGATTTGCAACTGCGATTTGAAACAATAAACCTTACTCATGGTATCAGCAATTCAATTATAAAGTGCAACATAATCAAAAGATTATACTGCCTTGGTGCAGACTTGGTTCATTATGGTTGTTTTGTTGCTTTGCTCAAGCGTACATTTCATCTTGGCAAATGTATAGAGTCGTGCAATTTCTACTTCCTTGTTATAGAAATATTAATTTATGTTTAATTGACTGCACTTTTCTCGATCTTACTCTTGTATCCTTGTATGTTTTGTTCATGTAACTTTTTGAGGAGCCTCTACTTGGCACCTGTGATAAAGAGCTTCATAGTTCATCAGATTCTTCTAGTCTATGATTCTGAAATGCCCAAATTCAAACCAAGGATTTCAATGGTGTGAGCTCAGTCTGTTCCCTGAGCCACACGGCCACTTTAATTTTTATATTTTTACAATGGGCACTGAACCGCGCCGACGTGAGTTTGCTTCGCGGGGAAAGCTAACATCAAGCAGCCAGTGATATCTCAACTGGTCCTTGTCCCCTGCCCCTTCTTAACCAACCACTGACCAGCGTGGTGAAGTATGGCAAAATAAGACCCTGCGTCAGGTTTGTTTTTCCCACAAGGATGAAACAACGACACCGGAGTTTTCCTCCTTTCACAAAAGTGTCTGTGGCTTAACAAATGGAGCAGAATTGTAGTCGGATAACGATAGAGTATTTAAACTATACGTGGATAGTTTTCCGTTATGTTTACGCACGCTCAAAATTGTACTGTTCACGAAAAACAACTACAGTAAAACCTTGGATTGCGAGCATAATTTGTTCCGGAAACGTGTTTGTAATCCAAAGCACTCGTATATCAAAGCACTCGTATATCAGTTGTGATCACGTGACGCTCGGCAGACAAAGCGTATACACGTACGACTCGTATTGCAAGACCTCGCTCGTTTATCAAATTAATATTTAATTAAAAATTTAGCTCGTCGTGCAAAACACTCGCAGACCAAGTTACTCGCATCCAAGGTTTTACTGTACTGCAACTTTGCATGGCTCAAGTAACTATCAAGGTTTGTCTGCAGCTCTGAAATACTGGATTTTGATTTTTTTACTGAGACAAACGTGCAAAACGTGGTTCCTAATCAACCACAGGAGCGGTTCTCAAGTCCTGCAGTTGTGGTGGTGTCCTTAACCTTGTCACTGTCGCTACTGAAAACCTGCAAAGTAGTGCAAAGAAACCCTAACCCCCCCCCCCCCCCTGTATTATGGAACGCAATGCCGCGCTCACAACGGTGGATTGTATTGTTTGGGATGGTTGTGTGTGATCGTGGCATCATGGAAAATTGTTTCCTAATTACTGTATCTTACGGCCAGATGGTGCGCTTTGCTTTTAATATTTAATGACATTTTTACAATATTTTCAAGTTGTGTTTTAATTGTATCGTGCACTTGGCCACTGTGGCGAGTGTCTCTGTTATTTTGCGGTTCGTCCAAATGACTCGATGCAAAGAGCGCACGTTCAGCATCTTGAGATGCTCCTAATATTAAGGTGCCATATAAATATACATTATTATTGTTGTTATTATTAATAATAAAGGTTTTTGGGTTAGATCGTGTCAGTATAAATGTGTTGTAACCCTCCACCACCCGACACAGCCAATAAGGTTTGTCACGTAAACAACGCGCCAATTAGTTACTACTTCAGCCCACCGCTGTGATGGAGAGTAAATCCACAACGTTTACAATTTGAGGAGTACGACGTTCCGCTAGTAATTACATCCAGCATCATCGGGCGATTTGCCAGAATAGTGAATCAATCCATCTGCTTCCGGTCTTAAATAGAGCAAGATGACGTCATCCCTGTGAATCCATCAGGTGTAGAGATCAGAGGGGGAGGAGGGAGGGTTTATTGTAATTATATAATAGATAATTAATCAGCCTACGTGTTAAACTGTTGTTATTATTATCTGCTCGTAACAAGCCGTAAGAGCACAAGGCAATAGATATGTATTGTCATTAGCCAATCAATGGTGGTGTATTCTGGTAAGGGACTAAGCAGGTACAACACTGCATATTGTGATTGGTTTTGTTATGTATAAATCCTATTTGCAGCTGAGAGATGTCAGTAACACCACCGCAACTGAAAGATGGATTGTGGAAAACTGGCTCAATTCATCAAGTGTTACAGTAGCCATTAGCACATCACCTTTGCTTTAAAACAAGATCTGCGAAAAATATAATCTAACACGTAATCTATAATATGAATGATGAGTAATGTATAAAGATGGCAGCATCAGTAGATAACCAAGCTGAAACATTTAGCATAGACATTTTAAAATGTAGCGACCTAGATGTGATTCATATATTCGCAAGCATGCCCATCCATTCTGTGTTAAAACAACATATTTAGCATGTCATAATAATAACAAACAATCCAATGATGGACTAAGGGCTCCCCAAAGCCATGTCAATGTGGGGGTTTGTTGGCCATACTTCACCGCACAGGTCAGTATGTGGTGAAGTATGGTGAAGGGGTGAGGGGGGGGGTCTCAGGACCAGTTCAAACATGACTCAACACTGATGTTAGCCTTGTGCAGGAATCAAACTCAGGTGGTTGGGTATATAGAACAAAGTTGCTAATCGTTGCACCATTGCTCCACCCTCTTGCAGATATATGGCACAAAAAACGTTCATTTGGATCACATTCTTTTATACACCTATGAATATTTTTGGCCTCAAATCTCCAGGCTTAAATAATAGCTTATTTCACTGTGGTTCCCTGCATGATAAGTTACAATGCATAATAAACAAATGTGATGTTACGTGCAACCCCAGAATAATTTTGTGGTATAAGTTGACTTTTTATTTTTCTCTACAGTGTATGGCTCCCAAATGTTCAATAATATTGAGTCCAAATCATATATCTGCTATTGGATTTGTCTTCAGCAGAAGGCAGGCTTGGATAATGTCCAATTTATCCAAGTTCATCATGATGAACGGTGACCCATGCATATAGCACAACTAAATGATTGTACATCAGCGACTGGAAATTAATGAGGTGGTCTATTTATCGGATTCATTACTTTTTTCTTGAAGGTAAAGAAAGAAATCCAAGGCAAAGCTCCGTATAATATGCTTATGTACGTGATTATACATTAAGGCCTGTAAATGACATGTTACATGGGATTTTTTAAATATCAACGTTACTTTCAGTCAATGCACCCGATGATATCATCGTTATGAATAATTCTCATTGGCAAAAAATATACTTTCACACACTTAATGTAAAAAAGTACCGTATCTCTTTCACCATGCAGGGCTATGTTTTCATGTAAATTATGTAAATTAAATGACGGATATAAAAATTCCCCTTTATGAAAAGGTCAAAAAGAATATCTAATGAAGGGTCACTTACAAAGGCCAAATTCAAACACATAAGTTTTACACTTTACATTTATGGACTTTATTTGGATTAATGAGTTAACCAAAATGAACAAAAAACATAATTTCTATAAAATAATCTCAAAGATCACACACACTCTTTGCTCAGGCACGGTTGCATAAGACTGATATAAATAGCCTGTACAGTATTACACTTTGGTTCTTTCGGTAAAGTCACGTATTGTTTCGTCTAACATTCTATCAATGTAAATACATTATAAATGTACGTAATTCTACGTAAATACAAATTTACAGACCTTTGTTAATTCACTTCTGAAGGCCTTTCAAAGCACGCTGTATTATAAGAAATGTGTTAAGCGTACTGCAGCACACAAGCTTGTTTGGTTGAGTGGTTAAGCTGGCCAGTGGCGGTTTTGGTATCTGAACCAGCCCAATACCACTCACCAATGATGTCAGACCTGGCCTGGATTCAAACTCAGGACGACAGGTTCATAGCATTGCGTACCAACGACCGTGCCAACGCTCCGTCCCCCCCCGCACCCCCCACCATAAAACGGGAGTTGTAAAACATTCTAAACAAAATTAATAATTAAATCTGATATAAAAGCTAATGGTACAAAAACGCCTACATGTGCACGTATTGCCGTCGCAAGCATTTTTCAGATGAGATACAATTTTATTCGTTTTGTGCTTACCGGAGAAAGTGTCCGTCAGGTACAGAGGGTCCTTAACTTGACGAATCCCGCACACGAGGAGGAAGAGGAGGCTGCTCGTATCAGCGGGGACGCCTAATCAATTTGGTGGGGGAGGAAGGAAGAAAGAGGGAGCCAAGGTTACATTCAGGGTGGTGGGTGGGGGTGCAAACTTGCCAAATGTATGCATAAAGTGTCGCCCGGTGTCCTTTATGTGACGCCATTACTGTATTTTACTGCGCAAAATATCGGGTTGCATTTTGACAGTATGGGGCGTAAATCTGTGACCCGCTGACCTGTAACCTTTTACATGCAACGAGAAGGGGGGGGGGGTGCACAGATTAACTGGTATTATTGTAGGAGTTCGTTAGCATGCCACTAAATCTTCGCTGCAGTAAATTCTGGCACGATAGGGACATTAATGCAATTTACGGTCATTTTTGTTGTTGTTGCATCTTTCACATATGCTTGGAAACAAATGTTTGCCCATTATGTAGGCTGATGATATTTTTTCTTTAACATAAATCTCTCGCTTGTGATTAAGTCATTTTCTAGCGACGTATCTACTTTGTGGGGAAAAACAAGACGTAAGAGCAGTTTTTTTAGCTGCCCGTCATAATAATCCCAATTGGCCAGGTGGCTGTCGGAATAGGTCAAGTGCTGCGTGGTCATGTTCTTCAATAAAACAGTAAATGACTTTGAATGGCAGAACAGCCTATCCTATATGGGGTTGTGGCTAGGGAGCGAGTAGTGGGGGGATTATTGCTTTCCTCTCTTAACTCTCAGTCTGGGTTTTCCCAGAGCAGCGTTTGGAACGATAACCCCTCCCAAACGCCGCCTCCTTCCCTTCCTGCCCATACTTTCTCAAAAAAGATCAACAAAAGCCATAAAAAAACACAAGACCGTGGCAGACGTAAAGCACATATGGGGAAAACACCGTTCAATATTTGCCGTGCGTGCTTGATTGTACTGACATATATTTAACTTGGGACTCTGGCTTCCAAAATGAAAACACTTCCAATAATGTACTCGCCACATCAACGAGCAAATGTGGCATTACACTGGGGATCAGAATAGAGGAGGGTTGGGAACGCTGAACTTGAGGGAGAGCATGTTAAATTGTCATGCAGATGAAGCACCTTGAGAAAGTATTGAAATGAAATGAAGGCACAAACTGCAATTAATGAAATTTATTGCACACTCCAATTGCCGTGTCAGCTTTTTTCTTCAAATCAGACTTTTTCTTATGCAAAGAATGCATTATTAGTACCCCCCGCCGCACCCCTCCCCTACATTTTTCCTGCGTACTCTATGTGAAGACGATGTCAGACTTTTTAGAAATGAATTTTGTTTTTGCATCTGATTATGATCACATTTTAAGCACGCAGTTGCTCATTATGATACCCTTTCAACCAGCCCATACGTACAAGTATACATATCTGTGAACAATAATAACATCATTTATTTCCCCTGGAAAGGCTCACCCAGTCTCCAACACTATTTGAGGCTGGTCCTGCATAGTAATGTTTGGTTAATTCCATCAATGAGTGTTTTGTGTGAAGAAGAAAGGAACACACACACAGGAATAAATAAGACAAATGTATGCTTGGATGGGTTTGTAACCCATATGATGTACTTTCATCTCCTGGTCACCATCTTGCAGCCCAGCAGCTTTGAGAGTTTAACAAATACAATCTGATCCACAAACTTGTGTCACAAGTGCTGGATTAAGTGCTGTCTGACGAAAGTAATTTCGAAAATGAAATTGCATTTAAAGCTATAAATATTTTATATATATAAACAGGGATATTGCTCTGCCACCTGTGTGTCTGCAAATTATTTCAAAGAGAGGTCACGGGGGGGGGGGGGGGGTTCCTAGTGAGAGCACTGACCCTGCACTGTTGACATCTCGAGTTCAAATCTGAGCAGCCACTCGTGATTAAAACCGAGTTGTCAAAAGTAGTGAGTGGATGGTCTCAGACTGATCACCAATCACACTGTGCATATTAAAATCCGTAATATTAAACGAGTTTGACCTAATTTGGGAGCAAACTCAAGCTCTCCCAAGCGACAAACAAACATCTTCTAAAGAAGGGGTGCAATATAAAGTACATGTCCCCGAGCATACGTAAGATGTGACTTTACAGGGAGTCTGGGAGTAGATCTGTGGTATCTCATTCTGTGAGCTGTTTTATAACAAAAATATCTGAACGGACTTTTCATCTCGTGGTATGATACCAATTGTACAATTGGAATAATTTGCCTGGGAAAAATACAAAAATACAGGGTGCTTCAGAAAAATGTTAACACTTATCTGGGACTATCGTTTATTAATGGAAAAATAACGGATAATACACTAACATGATAATAAATGTATGTTTATAGCTTCAAAAGTCAAAGAGTCTCCACCTGCTCGCCATCATTGTCAACACGTGCCTGGAATCTTCTCCAGGTGGTCTCCAGAGCCCAGAGGTACATTTCTTGTGGTGTTGTTGCAAATTCTCAAAAGTATAAAAAAAAAAAATTTTAAGCACCCTATAATAATAAAAAATATAACTGCAGTTACAAATTTAATTCCACAGTACATTTAAACTTTCCAAATGTCAAGCCTCTGACAGATCACTGCAGGGCTGTCTAAAGATTTCACCCAAGACTGCGACGCCAATCTATGAAGTGCACGCAAATTCTGTTACAGCTTGCACTGTTTAACAAAAGAAAGCTACAACACATTGTCCAAATTCTATAATTGGAAGTTGTGGTCACATAAAAAAACAGTATTTCACAGTTCGCTGCATACCTGTACACGAACGCAAGGGTTAAACATCAAGCTATACGGACAGAAAAATAAAAAAACACCCTACATTCCGTAAAAATACATGTACAACCACGATGAATAATTCATCATCGTGCAGCATTGTTGAAGTGCTCCTGAGAATGATAGTGGCCATAGCGGGAGTTTGGCTGTTCTTGCGTCGCCTGCATGCGTTGTGTGCATACAGAGCTTTGGCTCACCCGAACTACGTAAATGGCTCCTCCAGGCAAATCCAGTGTCGGGATTGGTCCACACACCTGTTGACAAGCGAGGGCAAATAGTTGAAACGTTCATTATACGAATGTAACTTGATTTTTTGTTGTTGCAAAACACTAAACAGCAGTTCAACACGTAGGCTTTCGCGACCAATATTATTCACAATTAAGGTGTTTGGGTTAGATCGCGCGAGTATAAATGTGTCGTAACCCTCCACCACCCGACACAGCCGGTAAGGTTCGTCACGTAAACAACGCGCCAATTAGTGACGACTTCAGCCCGCCGGTGTGTTGGAGAGTAAATCCACAACATTAACAATTTGAACACCGTGACGTTTCGCTGGTAATTACATCCAGCAGCAGGCGATTTTGGGGGGGGGGGGGGCACTGCAAGATTGATGTGCCCCCCCCCCCCCCCAGCTCCGTTTGTACAGAAGAATGGCTCCGGCAGAGATTTTTCACGGTTTCTCTGCCGTGTAAAATCCATCGAGTGGCCCTTTCATTATTTTACACTCTGGCGGCGGGGGGAGGGTCACACTTTTCCACACACACTGCAGTGAGATAGTAGCATGAGAGTCGAGGCGATATGAAACAATCTCAGACCTGAAATTTTGCCTAATTAAAGCAAAGAACCACTTTTTTAAATTTTTTACATGATCGTTTCTGTGTGCAGTCGTTGATGGCTATTCTCCAACCACTGAACTCATTCTAGATTTGAAGCTTTCGTGACTGCAAAGATTCATACTCTCAGTTCTTTCGGTAAAGTCACGTAGGTAAAAAATTGAAATTAAAATTAAATAAAATAATAAAATCACGACGTTTCGGAGGCAACACAAGTCTCCGTCATCAGGTGGGACCGTCACAGCCAGATTTGCTGCTTGATGCTCACTTGATGCAGCAAATCTGGCTGTGACGGTCCCACCTGATGACGGAGACTTGTGTTCATTTTTTTACCTACGTGACTTTACCGAAAGAACTGAGAACACTGAACTCATCACGTGTAAGAACCCAGTGGACTCAGCAGCAGCTACCCAGATTCAAACCCAGGATTTTAGCAGTGTCGGCTCAGTGCTCTGATCACCCTTTTGGAGCTGCACAGTCTTAATAAAACTCCCCTCTCATTATACCACCTGCCATAAAATACATTAACATTTGAAAGGGCATGCTCTATGGTGCCAGTGTCACGGTACATGCCTGCTAAATTTAAAAGTTACATACAATTACTAAATTATGATAACATAATAAGCTTGCCTAATGTTTGCGTGCTGGGCCCAAAGGCCCCTGCAAATCGGCTGGGCAAAGTTCCTGCTTGAGAAAAAACCCCCCCTCTAATATAACAATTAGCTTACAGATGCTGACATGAGGTTATTAAACGTAACCACGTTTGCATACACTTCAATCGTGGAATTTTGCATATGGCTGTGCAAAAATTTGCACATATATACGTTGAAATTCAATTTTGGGACGATGTAAAATATCAGCTAAAAAAAGGAAGACGCAAGGTACATGCGCGATGATACCATTTGGTATGCCGACCTATTCGTGTGCCCTATGGAGGGGAGGTAAGTTTTTTGTCATGAAATTCTGAGGGTGCCACTGAGCGATGCCGAGACGCACAGAGTAGTGGCTTGCAATGCAAAGGAGTGTGTGCACTCTCTTGCTCGCTCACAGGCTGACGTGAAGGTAATTATGCACACAATAGTAGCCGGTAGCAGTTTTTTGCCACTTTCTATCATCTCTAGAATCAACACACCACGAGAGGAAATTTTACTCGATTTGCCGATAGGGATCATATATTTTAAAGTGTTTATAGCATGACACTTAAAGCAAATTAGGACTCGAAACTGACCCTGCCCTATGAGTAAAACCAATCAACCTCATGGGTTGTAATTTTCTATGGCCAAAAATAGAAAATATTTGGTGTTTGGATTTCTCTACTTATAGCCATAGACTGGAATATATCTGTGGCAAATTTCAGATTTCCAGGCTAACATTAGTCTTGAGTCACTGAGTTATGACCGTTTATATATTTAATGGACGGTACATACTGCACGTGAATAAAAACTTAAAACACTGAACATTCAGTATTTATAGAATGCACATGTGTTTGTGTGTTTAAGCACACACAGTACGCCTTAAGTTCACCGATTTTATCCACAACGTAGGATTTTACTACCCACAGGCTCAACCGATGACTAAGTGTTCAGACGCTCAATTAATTTGTCACGATTCGAGTTTAGAAAATCGATTAAAACCATTATCGGTTTAACGTTACAGAGAATGTAGCGGCCCCTAGTGTCTGCGACGCATGGGTAAGCTGAACTCGTTAATATGCACACGATTCAACCCATGTCTCGCGAGCTAAAGCGTCGATATTATTTGATGGGCCAATTCGTTGTGCCGAGTATTCCCTTGTTATTCACAAACATACTATCTGCGATTTTTGGCGATCATGTAATGCGAGAAAGTAATGAGATAGAGTGATTTTAATTTGAGGATGCGCATCATCCTAATTTATAACGTATTATTTAAGCTTCAAATCAAGATATCATTTCATCCTTTGAATCTTTTTTCCCATTAAGTTTATGTCCATTATAACCAATTTTGTATGTTTTCGTGTTATGATAAATTTAATGTATTTAAAAGCTTATTAATGTATGTCTTCAAGGTAATTCATGAACATGTAAAAGCATTTTTTTAAAATGAAAACCAATATCATTACCCGCGAAATTTGCCTCTCTGGAACGTATCCCTTGCGAACATCGAGGGAATGCTGTACACCACTGCTCGATATACACACGCGCGTGACAGCACTGCAAGTGCAACACCTCCAGTGTTTCATGGTGCATTTCCTGCACAGTCACACGGCGGAATTCGTGCGATTACAAACCGGAGCAATGCTGTGTACGAAAAGCGTCCTCGACACGTTGAACCCTTGTCCTAGAGTAATAATAATAATAAGAATTATATAAAAAAAAGATAAATAACATTTACAGTGTAGATTAGCCTTTAGTCACCTGGATTGATGACCACAAATGTGTTATCAAGGTTTAACATGTTCATTTCACTGCACAATGTTTGCTGACATTCGTTAATACAGATAAGAGACATATCTGTATGGATAAAATGGTCCCTTCTTCCCGTAATCCATCAACCTCTCAGCAACTACCAAGGATCAGCAGATTCACTTCATTGAGGCTTCAATTCCCTTTCCTGCTGTCGGACGAGCAGTTGTTATCGTTTTTTTAGCAGAACAAATGAGATTTTTTTTTCTTCTAATTTCTTTAAAGCTGCGATGTAAAATAATTATAACATCACTTAATGTAACCATTAGTGGTGTTATAATGGGATGGCATACATCATTTACAAACCTCCATTGTCATCTTTCACAATCTCAGCAATTGTAATTAATCATTCAAACTACCATTTGGCTAAGTAAACCACTTTGCACACGTGTATTGTACGCATGCAAACTGGCACATGCCTCATTTGTAAAAGAGCTCCTCACAATTGGCAGGTTCCCAGTTCAAACCCTGGTTCGGGGCTGACTCAGCCCATCATCATTCTGGGATCATAAAAAAATGTAGTTTAACATTTGTGGGGAAGTTTACAATAGTTGCCCTATCAAAAGTCTTGCCCCAGTCATAGGAATGTGGAATTACAACCACCGGCTTAGGCCTCTCAAAACAAATTTGCCCTTGTCTAAAAATGCTCATTGGAGCAGGAAAACACGCGTCGGTTGTTATTGTGCACATTTATGAGTATTCATATTCTTAGGTTCTTTCGGTAAAGTCATGTAGGTAAAAAATAAAAATTAATAAAAGTAAAATAAAAAAATAAATAAAAAATCACGACGTTTCGGAGGCAACACAAGCTTCCGTCTTCAGGTGGAACCGTCACAGCCCGACAGCTGTATCACCTACGTGACTTTACTGAAAAAACCGAAGAATATGAATCCTTGCAGTCACGAAAGCTTCAAATCCTGAATGAAATTTATGAGCATTTGAATGTGATCTGGTGCCGTCAACAGAGAGGCATCCTCCACTGCCATTCAAACTGTGACTTTACTACGATAACTACTTTGCACACATTTATGCATGCAAATTACTCCTTGAACTGCAATGTAATGAATACAGCTCGCGAAGTTGTCATCACAAAGCACAGTCTGCACACCGGGAATGTTTTCCATTTTCGGATTAAAACTGCAAAGGACGTTAATGACCGTGCCACCGCTCCATGCCACATCGGCAATTTCCACTTGTAACGCGCATAGCATTCATTCGCTCTCGAAGGCAGGGTACAGACTCGGAGGCGCGTGGAACCACAGACGAGGAGGAAAGGCAGCAACGTGAGGCGAGCCGGTGCCAAATTTACCCCCTCCCCGAGTTCTGCAGTCCTCTACATATGAAGGTGTTATCGGCGATTATTGAGCAAGGGGGCAGTACACGCTCCCGTACAGGTGGAACAAGGTGGGATCCACATTTTGCATTCTCCTGGCAATCCAGGTGCAGTTGGCACCTCGACACCCGCAGGAAGGAGGTCTCATTACATTTCTGTGATCCACCAACGCTCGCTGCCTCCACAGTGCTGGATTACAGGTGTGCTCCACCACCACCACCACCACCACCCAGCTAGTCATTAGCTGCTGTGAGATACATTATATTATCTTGTTATGGTGTCTCTAGCACGCACGCACGCACGGCGGGAAATTAAAGGTGTTTTTCTCGTTCCAATCAGGAACTTAAGCGCGAGTGTATCTTGCACAAGCTTAACTTAATTGCAAGGTTTACGTTATGTTTCAAACAAGTCCACAAGTTCCACGCCAAGCCATGAGCGAAACAATAAAGGTCGTGCACAACACGTTTCCCAAACAGAATATGGACCTTATGGCGGGACCCCGGGGTCCCATAAGCCCCCGGCTCTCGCATAAACTGCGTTGCGACGTCATTATACGTCTGTTGAAGGCGAACGATACGACTATTCCTCTCGACGAGCTCTACACGATGCGCTAATCAAAGTTTCAAACTTTTGTTTCTTCTGCG